CTTGTGCCTGAGAGTCCAAATGTTTCTTCAACTCTGTCAAACTTGGTGCTGTGACCCCTTTCCTGGGGAGCCTGTTCCAGTGCCCAACCACCCTCTGGGTGAAAAGTCTTTCCCTAATATCCAACTGAAACTGACTCAGCTTCCTCAAGGTCGGTCACTGGTCATGACAGACATCCCCTCCCCTCATGAGACCACAATGAGGTCTTCCCTCAGTCTCCTCCAAGCTGAAAAGACAGGACTCAACTGCTCCTCACACAGCTTCCCCTCCAAACACTTCACCATTCTCATAGCCTTCTATTTGGCATTCTCCAATAGCTTAATATCTTTTATATATTGTGGTGCCCAAACCAGCCCCCTGCACATAAAGTGAGGCCACCCCGGCTCAGAGCAGAGCAGGACAATCCCCTTCCTTGCCTGGCTCCTGATGCTCTGCCTGATGCACCTCAGGACAGGGTTGGCCCTCCTGGCTGCCAGGACACTGCTCACTCATGGTCAACTTGTCATCAAGCAGGATCCTCAAGCCTGTTTCCACACTGCTGCTCTCCAGGGTCTTATTCTCCAGTCTCCCATTCCCCAGCCTACACACATAACCAGAGCTCAGCCATCACAGGTGCAGAATCCAACACTTGCCCTCATTAAACTTGTGGTTGGTGATTGCAGTCCTCAAATTTACTGAGGTCTTTCTGCAGGGCCTCTTTGCCCTTGAGGGAGATGGCAGCTTCCCCCAATGTAGTATTATCAACTAACTTGCTTAGTATTCTATCAAGTACTTAATCCAAGTCATTTCTGGAGATGTTGAAGAGCACAGGGCTGAGGACAGGGCTCTGAGGAACCCCACCAGTGACAAGTCCCCAGTCTGATGTCAGCCCATTCACTGTAACCCTTTATGCCTGACCCATGAGCCAGCTGCTCACCCACCACATGATGTGTTTATCCAGCTGTGGGCTGCACATTAGGTTAAGAAGGATTCTGAAAGAGATATTATGAAAAGCTTTGCTGAAACCCCAAAAGATTACATCAACTGGCTTCCCTTGATCAACAAAGTGGGCTACCTTGTCATAGAATGAAATCATGTTCAACAAGCAGGACTCTTCCATCTCATGAAGCTGTGTAGGATGTGACTGATGAATGCATTGTCTTCCAGGTTTTCAGTACCTCCCAGAATAATCTTGACCATGATTTTACTGGGCACTGAAACAAAACTGGGAGGCCTGTAGTTTCCAAGGGTCCTCCTTCCTACCACTTCTGAAACTTGAGACAACTTTCTCCAGCTTTCAGTCAGCTGAGACCTCTCTGGATTCCCAAAACCCCATGAATATAATTGAGAGAGATTTTGCAATGACAACTATACCTCTTTGAGGATTCTTGAATAAATCCCAGTCAGGTCCCACAGATTTGTAGGGATCCAGCTAGAGCACCAGGTCCCACACAACTTCAGGGTCAACTGCGAGTTGATCATTCTTGCAGTCATGGTCCTGGAAGCTCAGGGCACAGAGCCTCCCTTGGTCTGTTGTCCATGTAGAAGTCAGAGGCAAAGAATGCATTAAACACCTCTGCCCTGACCATGCCCCTGTTTGTGACATGACCATCCTCACCCGTAAAGGCCTGCTTTTATTTCTAAGATGCCTTTTGTCAGTGGTATTGAAGGAACTCTTTTTATTGTTCCCTACGTTTCTGGCAGCTTCATGTCCAGTTGAGATTTGACAACACAAATTTTCTCCCTACAATGGCAAACAGCATTTCAGTATTCTTCCCATGTCACCTGAGCTTGCTTCCACTGGGCACATACCTTCACTTTAGTCTCATTTCCAAGAGAAGATCCCTGTTCACCCAAACCAGCCTTCTGCCTCTGGAGTACTGCCTTCAGGCACAACACCCAGAGTTTAAATGAATGTTTTCCATAGAAGGCCAAAATATTTTCAAAATTCCTAGACAAATGACTGCTTACTTGACACCTTTAGTTTAAAGGTTTGAGATTTTTTTATTAGAAGTTTTCAAAATGTTTCTGGTACCTAACGATTTGAAAACATTCTCTAAGACTGTTGGCAATAAAAGACTCTTGGAAAGCAGATTGTGAAAACCTTTATTTTCTCCACAGGCGACTGGATTTGCATTTATTTAATAATCCATAATCAAAACAAATATTCAAATTCATTAAATAATATGAATTAAAGGCTTTGTAGCCTTTGCTCCAAAAACCAATTGGAAAGGAAAACCAAATTTGGTTTCCTGTATGCTCAAATCAGCCTGGATGATAAAAGGTTAGATTCTGGGATGTGTTTGGAGGAATTTTCTAATATTTTAGGGCGGAAGAAGGCATTCTCCATCTTTTTCCAGCTTCAAGGGTATGTCATCTTCCTGGCTGTTTAAGGTCCACTGCTGTTAAACTCTTGACTTGTCCTAATTTAAAATCTTCTCTGAAATCTTCCACAATCTATGCCTTATCTAGTACTTCCCAATGGGATGGACTCACTGAAGATTGTATTGACAATAGTTTTTTTTTCTCCAATCATAAGTACATTGTAAATTGTATTAGCAGTGTTACATGTGAAGCCATGAATCTTAGAAACCTGCTTCAAGTACAGCAGGGTAGTGAACTAAAAAAATATCCAAATATCCCCACAGCTCCAAAATAAGAGAAGGAAATCAAAGTAGAATGAAAGGATTTTGTACTAATAAGCAATCACATGGCCTTTAACAGTGGAGTTCTTTGCATCATTTGTACCTTGCACCAATACTGACAACAGCTAAGGTTAGAATGCAGATGGTAAAACTCACTTTTATGTATATCTTTTCAGACTTTGGCCATCAAAATTTTTTATTTTTCACCTATATAGCAAGAATCATGTAACATCATCCTTGACATGAGGGTTGGTGTGGGTTCAGCAACCATGGTTTCTCAAACCATTTGGATCCTAAGGCCGATCTGCTCTACAATAGCAAGGAAGCTGCCATGTGCCACCACTCTGGCAACTAACACAAGTATCCAAATATTTGAGCTTACTGTTTTAAAAGCCACAACTTCAGTGGAGAACTTCCACAATACAGCCCAATAGCAATGTAGAATTTAAAAATCTAATCAAGCCATGGCGATGCAATATCACCAGTTCTATTTCTCACAAAACTACAGAGCCTTCAGCCTGTATCTACAGTTCATATACTTATATCACGCTTACCTTGGTTTAATTTACCTTTTCCTTCTTCTCTAAGTGCACTGCTTTTCAACATTTTTGGTAGAAATTATTTCATATTTACTAATCTCTTTCACAGTTATTTCATTCAAATACTATTCTTCTTTGTTCTTATACATTTTTCTACATTTACAGACTATTAATTTGTAAAAGATAATCACAATGCAAACCTCTACATTTTAAAGGTTTTTGCTACATACAATACACAACTTATACACAATACATATTTGAGAAGAGTCTAATGCTGTTGCTTTAAATGATTAAGACCAGAGTAAAGCTAAGGATGAGCTCTTTCAGGCTGTATATTAAAAAAGCCTCAACTACTTCTGATTGTGCATAAGGCAAAGTGTATTTTGAGACATTAAACACAAATCTTTGAAAGAGACCAATGAAGTTAGATGTATACATTCTTACTGAGACAATGGGAACTTGCCCCAGAATTTCCCATCAAACTCCACTGAAGTCTCCAGCCATAAAGTACAATTCATGGAAGTACCACAGGCCACTTCCATGGGGACCTGAAACCAGATGTCTGTGAAGTCTTTACCGCTCCAGGACTCAGGAAACCGCTTTGACACTCAACATCAACCTGTACTCAGGCTGGTAAGGCAGAGATGAACTATAAAATTGTTGTCAGGTTTCTCTGGAATGGTCTCTCAAAAGGTCAGGGCTGGGGCTCCAGGTCTTCCAAACTAAATAAACCTTCCTTCCAGATCCAAGGCAGGGTCAGGTATAAATGGAGATATGCCCTTCAGCATGACCCTGCTGTACCGCATCTTCCCTCTTGTATCTGCAGAAGTGTCCAGAAATAGTAGAAGCATAGGATCCCACTGACAGAAAATGGGACATTGTCCCACTCGCAGGACTTCCCAGGGAGAATTTCTAACACAATCCCACACTGTGGTAGAGCCTAGAAAGTAAAGAAAGAACTCCACAGGAACCCACTGTGGTTCACTGCTTTCTGAAATGATACGTCTCTCTGTCAGAACTGAAGGATCTCAGCTTAGGTAGTGCATTCACAATGTACACAGGTTGATATAAGTTGAACATACATTTTTAAATATATTGAAAATAGTAAGCAAAAATATATGCATTGAAACAGCACATACACTTGTTACACATGTATTGAGGGGTCACATTTTAACTACTTTAAATAGCAAATATATATCCTCTCTCAACGGTTTACTACTGCTCATTTAAAATATGTTGTGAAATGCCACAGTGACAACTGTCATGTTGTCTTTCACTAAACACGAAAAGTTCATAGAACAATGGAAAAAATAAAAATACTGCATTGATATTACTTGTTAAAGTTTTTGACAGTTAAAAGCTACTACTTCATTTTAAATATCCCCATTGAAACACATCTATTTGTACAATTAGTCACACGGTATACTGCAATACAATGTTTAGCATGTTGTAAACTTTTACCAAGCAATGACTTTTTAATGAGAAATTGTACAAATATACAGCTATTTATACCACATACTTGTAAGGCCATGAACACAACAGCAAGATACATACAGAGAACTATAATCACCAACTCATGCAATGAAATATTCTTCTCCCAGCTAGCAATAACTGGGCTCATCTTACAATCGTCAGCAGTCTTTAGTGAATGCTGAACTTTCCAACAGGTTTTAATGATGTCTTGCAAGACCACGAGGTGCCAAATGAAGCCTTAGCATGCTACGCCATTGTGGCACTTGATGTCCTTAGCTGTGCATGGACTCTGTCCTGGCTGCAGGGTAGCATGAAAGGCTTTTTCTGAATCAGGTGTGTTACTGAATGAACACTCAATGCAAATGATTGTTGATAAATAAGTTCTCAAAGTTAAATAAATGCTTAGTGTTTTCCCCTGTGACTGAAGTGCATGAATATTTAAACTACACCTGTAGCTTAAACCTAAAAACCACAGAAAAGTACTTGTCTTGGGTAGTCCTTTACTTACAGAAGTTTCCATTGTGAAATGAAGAATCATTTTTCTCAGCAATACATGAGGGAACATTTATTGGCGCAAGATCTTCTTTTGGCTTCTGGGTATTGCTGCTGCTGGATTTACTTCGACTGTGATCTGGAGTGGGTTGAATAGGCAAAGATCTGGCCACCTTGGATTTCACCAGGCAGCCACAAACAAGGCGAAAGAAAGCCCGACGCATTTCCTTACTGGCCAGGGTGTAGATGATGGGGTTCATTGCGGAATTGATGACCGCCAGAGCAATAAACCAGTGGGCTTTGTACAAGATGGAGCACTCCTTGACTCTGCAGGCCACATCGATGAGGAACAGGATGAACAGTGGAGACCAACATGCAATGAAGACACTAACGACGATGACAACAGTCCTAAGGAGTGCCATGGACCGCTCCGAGTTATTGTGGTTGGTGACATTACGACTGCTGGACTTAACCAGTATGTAGATACGGGCATAAAGGATGACAATGGCAACCAAAATGGCTATGAAGATACTAATGCAGAACACAACATAATTTTTGGAGTACAGAGGCAAAATTGTTGAGCAATCTGGTAAGTTGTTTATACAGTTCCAGCCGAGGATGGGGAGGGCACCCAAGGAAATTGAAATAAGCCAGCATGTACCAATGAGAAGGAACACTCTGTATTTTTTATTTGCGTCGTAAGGCCTCATTTTAATCATGGTCAAGTGCCGCTCAATAGCTATTGCTAGCAAGCTGAAAGTGGAAGCTCCCAGGGCAACAAACATGCTACCTTCCCTAATGAACCAGATTGTAGAGGACAAGCTCAGAGTTTTCTTCCCAGACATAAGAATATTTACCTTGTAAACAATCCCAGCTAGAAGATCACAGAGAGCTAGATTGCCAATAAAAAAGTACATGCGGTTGTGAAATTTATTGTTTTTCCATATGGCAATCAACACCATCAAGTTTTCCAGGACTATGAAACTACATAGGATCAGAAATGAAATAGTGGGCAGGTCTATTTTATCAGTTGCCTTTTCCCTTAAAATAAGCTTTCCTGTGTAATTATAATGCAGTACAATAAGAGAGTCCACCTCTTCGTTTCCTTGAGGGCTGACAATGGCATCAGGTGGCATGGTAACTGCTGCCATCATTTGTTTCCTGATGGATGCTGGACTTTTTTTCTTCAGTATCACAAGGATATAGTTCCAATAATTTTCCACAAGAGGGAGATCACGCCACGTTCCTCCCAATGCTCCTCTGGGTAGGCGTTGTGTATCCTCACCTCCAGCACGCCTCGCATATTAACTCAGGAGAGCGGCTCTCAAACCAGGCTCTGAAAATAAAATCAACAAATGCAACATAAATATCAATGTCTTCCCGTGTCACCCAGTGCTTAAGCTGCAACCTTAACCCAGGAGCCGGGGGCGAGGGTCTGTGACTGACGGGGCACTAAGGTCGAGCACTGCTGCATGCCTCTCATGTAGGTAGCTGTAGGTAAGCTCAGACACAGCCTGGATGCAGAAATACAAGGGCAATGCCACTGCTATGTCACAACTGCTCAAAGGTGTCTTCCCCCTACAAAACTTCCATGCTGAAAAACACACAGAAGAGCCACGAGAAGGATTGGCAAACGGACCCAGCAAGCCATAGTGTGCACAGTGAGGAGCTCACTTCCTCTCAAAAAGACCTAAGTGTACACTGCACTACCAAAAGACCACCCAACCATCACTGCCTCCACATAAGCAGGGCAAACTCTATGCTTTTAAAGCTTGTTCTTGTTTGCCATGCAGACACAAGGTAGGAAAGATCCTGAGAAAGTTGGTGTCAAGTCTTGATGCCAGTGTGCATGTTGCCAGTGCTTAAAATAACTTCCCCCAGTTAATGGTATAAACTTCTGCAATTTACAATTGAGAAGATGCACTGAAAATCAGTCATCCTAAAGCCAATCCCACCTCCCACTCAAATTAGTTGGATTTTTGCTACCTTGTTTTAAAAAATAAACACAGCAAGTCATATTTTTATAAATGTCGTTTTTCTTTATAGTTAATTTTACTATTTTTTTCCCTTTGCGTAGATATGCAGGACATATATTTAATGTTCTTGGGTTTTTTAAAAAGTAAAAAATAGTTACACCAAATTTGTTTTTCTCAGAAATTCTGATTTTCTTGAAGTAACAACTTAGATTTACCACAATATCTTCCCATGGACTTTGAGGTTCCATTTTCACAGCAGATGTTCCAATATGTCTTTTTTTTTTTTTTTTCAAAATATCAGAAGAGATGTGCACAGTAAAAATATCAGAAGATGTCAGAAGCACTTACTGTTTTACCAAAAATGTTGCAGTTTAGTTGCTGTATACTCCAATGACAATCAGTGCTCATGCCCCAAATGTATGCATTGAGGATGAGCAAATGGCCAATTTTTCACTTTTCTAAGGAAACAAGGATGGAGATGAGGCCAGAACTTGTTTCACGTGAACCAAATTTGTAATTTTTTTTTTTTTTGGAAAGGTAAGAAAATAATTGTACTGAATGGGACTATGCTTCTCATGGGCCCAAAATTAAATAATTTACGGAATTTTTTAAGAGCTGGAGCTCCTGACCATAGCATTTATTTACTCAAGGACAGGTATCAAGGTAAGGAGGGATGGAAAAAGATGATCTTTAAGGTCTCTTCCAACCCAATCCATTCTCTAATTTTATGATTACGCATACAAGCTTCTTAAGATCAGAAACACGTTTGAGCCACTGCTGACCCAACAGACTGTTTAGGGCACTTGAGAAGTCAGAGGTGCATTTTCAAGTGCCTTCTGAGGATGAGGGGAGGAGCAAACCACATCCCAGATGAAAGTAAAGGTATTTAAATGGTGACCCACACCCTATTTTCCCACCCTTCATTTTCCTTGATTCCCTCCTTCAGAAAAAAAGTTATCTGATAAAAGCCTACAGTGAACTGACTTGAATTCTTAGTATATTCAGGATGTTTTAAAATTACTTTCTGAGAAAATAATTTGGTGTTTTTCCACTGGTATTTCCCCATTTTAGTTCATAGGTCCAAATTACTCCAGTTGAAGAGGCCCACTGGAAAAGACATCCAAGAAACAGCTGCTGCTTGGTGTCTTGGTCCTTTTTTACTCTGAAGATGACAGCAACCACATCATTTCTTTCCCAGGAGCTGAACTGGGCCCTTGAACTGTTAAATTCTTTTCTGAAGCATGGTAACAGTGAAGCTCTCAACAGAAAAACTTCACCTCAGCTAAGGTTCAGTGTAATTGTAATTCAGTTACAATCTGCGCACTGTTAACACATTAACTGTCACAGCCTTTCATTGTATTGGCTTATAACAAAATCCCACTGTGTCCATGTGAATTGCAAGTGCTTTCCACTGTAAAATAAACAATTACATTTGACTAGAAAAGTATTTGTTGATAATACTTCAACCAGCAATACTCACCAGACTGATTGTCTCAGGCTGATGACTGCCTGAGAGAATAATGTTCCTATCATTTAAGAGCACCACATGCAACAAAATAAATATTTCTTTAAGACATTTTCAAGTGAGTTATCAGACTTGTCTATCAAAGTGCAAATACATTTCTTTCTGTGAAGAAAATTATATGGCAGACATAGGAGTTTATCAGCCACAACTCAGCAGATGTAAAGTGCCATGACTGTACCAAAGGTAATGGCACTATACCAGTTCCCCTGGCTGAAAGCAAGGATGATGCACCCAATCAGCAGAAATCGTACAGCTTCTGCCACTGTTAGTAATTACTTCTGTTCAAATTGTTACAGCAAACTCAGTATCACAAAACTAAATCTTTGCCTCTGACAAGCTAGTAAGAAGACAAGGAAAGTTGTAACATTATTATTTACCAGGACTCTCACTGACAGAGTACCACACACAAGAAGTTTGCAAGTTAATATAAAAAAGTAATAAATTAGAATTTATTTCCAAGTAATATCATTCAGCCATAGTCTTCTTTTATTTACCTCCTGCTTGGTAGACAGTAATTCAAAAAGCACATTATTTCTTTAACAATTAGAAAAATTAATGCTGGATATGCATTATAATAACAAGAAAGTGACAAGGCAGGTTGAGGATAACATGTGTCACTGCTTTGTGACTGCTCAACCATTTACTCCTCAAAACAAGTTTGCCCCAGTCACATACTAGCTGCAAAGTATGGACCTCAGTTCAAAATATTTAAAAAACAACCTGAAGAACCTGTCTGTGGCATGTTGCTTACCCAGCACTGCTATGGTTAGGTACCTCAGCATCCCAGACTCTTGAAACCACTGGAAATGAGTTTTATTTCCTCTAAAGCAAAGCAGAGAATCCAAATTTCTACACCAGAAGGTACCACTAAAGGTTAAACCTCTTTGCAATGCAGGGGCAATCTGGCTGTATTTCCTCATGGATGTGCTGGCTAAAACAGCAATCGCTAAATTACCAAATTAAGGCAGTGGTACAATATCAAGAACCACGGTCATGCTCAGGACAATTCAGTTGCCTTCTCCAGCTATTTGGCCGATCTTTGCTGTCCCAGCTCCGAGGATGCAGAGAGCAGCTGGGGTCCAAGCTGTGAGCATCAAGATATTCCCCCTTCTGTGCAATGTTCTCTCCCACCGGCACGCTTTGGAGTTTAACCACTGGAGAGAGGTTAATGCGGACTCCTGCAGAGGTCAAGGATCCTGGCAGGGTCAAGGACCCTTTCAAATTAAAGCAGGGGCTCCTTACCATGGATCACATCACTAGTGGATAGGGTCCACCAGTGTCTGTATGGTCCCTCTGCTCAACACACCATGAGAGGGGCAATGCAAAACACAGCTCCTCTGCCTTCTCCAGCTGAACCACAAAGTGGTGCAGGTAGAAAATCAGGGTCATAGCTCTCACTGGCTCCCCTGGCCTGCAATTTTTCTCTGGAAACATCTGACTCCCAGTGCCAGAAGGCAACAGGGAACCGGTGGTAATGGGGATGCTAAAATCCTTCAGCAACCATCTCCCTCCCATGCATCTCAACTCTCTCTTTCCAGTGGGCTCTTTGGTTATGAGTCCTACAGGGAGCTGAGGGCTTTTACCCTCTCACAAGTCACTGGGCATTTTATATCTAAAAGAAATAAGAAATTTCTCTATTCAAAAGGTGAGCTGAACTGCTCTCAATTTTCCTGAAGTCAAAGCAACAAGTGAGATTAAAGTGAGCACAAAACTTGACCTTCTGCTACTATATACTATACTATACTACTATACTATACTTTTGCCTGCAGAAGAACATATGATACCATACATTCAGTATACTTGTAATTTGGAATCATATTTTCCTGTTTTACAAACAGCCACAAACAGACGTGACCAAAGAAACCTGATGCCCCTTTACGACCACCACCACTCACACTGCAGTTCTCCCTCTGCTTCCATGTACAACACCACATTTTGGCCAAAAGAGAGAATTTTAAAAACAGCAAAGGGAAAGACAAGAATGTAAATCTGAAGCAAAACCCTTTTATATTTTATGTATCTGTAAAGCCTTTCCAAGTGAAAAGTAAACACATGTAATTTATCAGGCAACCTTACCCTGGTAGTCTCATTAACAGAAAGGACTTTTGAGAAGAGCAGTACATTTCAAGGCACATTTCCACTGAAATTAAGCTGTGTTAGATGCAGATGAAGTTTAGACAATAAACATCTGCTACAGAAAAATGTCTTAGAGAACTCAAACTTATAAAAGATTTTTTCTTAAGTGAATGTGCTGGCAGTTTACAGCCTCAGGAAAACAGTTACTTTTCTTGGCTTCTGGCTTTTAGACATCAGTTTGAATTTTGTAATACCGAGTAGCACACATGTACACCTCACAGGGGAGCTCCCGGATGGTTTAATTCGTGTCGTTAAAGGGAAGGCATTTCGACTTCCTCCCCCGTCTCCCAGCGCTCCCGACCCATTCCCCCCACTCCAAACTTCAGTAACTGCTCTCAAATTCCCATCAGCGCTGCGGCCTGAGCCTTCTGGGGTGACAAACGCCTTGTTTAAGTTACCCGACGTGTCCGCCGCGTGATGGTCTCACACAGAGAACATCGTTCTACCCACAGGACGTGAGGATCGCTAGACCCGGGGTTCCCACGCGGCTCGCTGCCGCTCCGTGCCAGCCACCACTCCTTTGCGCCACACCCGAGCGGCGGCTTCCCGCTCCGGCAGCCGGACGGGCACGGCACCTCGGCCGCGCCGACGGCCGGGCGGGCATGGCGGGCGCGTCCCGGCCGGGGGAGAGGGGCACGGGCAGGCCGGCCCGGGAGCACAGGTACCTGCTGCGTCCGCGCCGCGTCCCACGGCGCTCCGGGGCCGCCGCATCCCACCTCGCCGCCTGCGCGGCGCCGCTCGGGCCCCGGGGCTGCGCTGGGCAGGACCGGGCCGGGCCGGGCGGGGCTGGGATCGCCCCGGCCCTGCCCCGCCGCCGCCGCCAATCCCCGCGGCTCCGCGCTCCCCCCGCTGCCCGCAGCCGCCTCGCCCGGATACCCCCGACCGACCTCCCGACCGCCCCTCCGGGCTCTTCTCGGTCCCCGCGTCCGCCTGCCCTCCGCTCCGGCCTCTGGCACGCTGCTCCCGCGCCGCCGTCGCCGCCGGACAGGCTCCGCTCCCCGCTCCGGCGGCCCCTGCCTGGCCCCGTCCCGTCCCGTCCCGTCCCGGCCCGTCCCGTCCCGTCCCACCACGCCTCACCCCGCCCCTTGGCCGCTCACCGTGCCCGTGCCCGGGGGAGCAGCGCCCCAGCGCTGGATGCTGCCCGCCGGGCACGGCCGCGGGAGTACCAGCGCGTTTAATGCTTAAACGGCGTTTTGGGCAGCCGGCGTGAAAATGTGAGGCGGCAGAGCCCACAGCCGAGTATTTATAACGTCCAGAAGAATGTTGTACTCGGGTTGGGCGACTAGAATGTTCAAGTGAGGCTGTACGTATTCTACCTCTGCTCCTCTGTTTCACTGTGTCCGGAATGCAGCCTTCAGAGAGCTTGAGTCGAGAGGCACAGGGTAAAACATTCAGAAATTCTCGGTAAAAGTACTTCTTCGGGTTTGACCCAGAACTGTCGATTACAGCACGCTCCTGGAAAGGTACCTCTTGACAGAGTTATTGAGTGAATAATAGCAACCCAAGGACAGCGATAGGCACGTGGATTGTGCCAGTCACAGGAGCAGCACTTTGAAAAAGAAGTTGGAACCTGGATCCCACAAGTGTCTTATTTAAATGTACTTGTAAGATGCTTGTGAGTACAGCAAATCTTTCTGTCAGAAGTGTGTATGATAAGCTGGCAAACAGAAGCAACCTTGCTAAGTAGAGGCAGACGTGTAGGGTTGCCTATCGTCTCACAGCAGTCAGTGTTTTTCCTGGGAGCCTCCTGTCTGGACCTGAGCATCATCACACTTGGAGTCATGCCATGGGCCCGGCTGTCGGGTTGCCGGCATTGTTGTTCTGCAGGGAGGAAAAGTCCTGGAGGAAAGCAGAACTAGGCTTTTTATAGCCAGAAGTTTAAACTAATAGAGCAAATGGTTGTTTCTGTGACTGCTTTTTATCTCCTGAAGAGGAGTAATAGAACTTTTCTGGTTTAGGATTTTGGTAGAAAATGAGGACTTCACTGAACAAAATGGTGGTAAAATTGCTTCCAGGCTGATGGACCTAATGGATATGGCCCCACTTAGCTATAGATAGGACTACAGTGCAATATGTAGTGGTCTTAGCCTTACCTCCTGTCCTCCCATTTTGTGTGCTGTATGAAAGCTGCTCTCTTCTGTGGAAGAGGAGTGGAAAACTCTTTCCATATCCCGTAAAGGTACACCACTTTTTGTCCAAGGGGTGCTCAGGTCTGTGAATTACTACTCTCTCATTGCTCATCAAAGCCTTGTTCTGCTGATTCCTTGAAAATCACCCCAGAAAGCTCTGTAGTCCTCTTGGCAGCCACTTGCTACACACCAGCAAGATCCTGTTCACATATAGTGGATGTAAGTAGCCCCTATGCTGGCACTGTGTTCTGCTGTTATTCCTTGTTATTTTCCCCTCTCTTCGTGTTTTTCCTTTACTACCTTTTTGTTACTTACAGAGGGGAGCCAGAAGAAATAGTCACTCTTACGAAACTGTCATGGATGAGGGGAGAAGACACTGCCACCACAAACATTTTTTGGTAGTAGTTCCCAGAGGTGTCAAATTGTGTCCTGCTGCCTGTAATGGTTTTAAATTGCCGTCAGTTGGGCTTACCACCTCCAGCAACCCACAGGGGCGTCTAGCAACCAGGCCCCACTACAGTACAAGGGAAGTGGTCTATGATGTTATTTCTGACTGAGACTTCTGATGGTGTCTGACGTGGTGGTGCCTGAAACCACCTTGGCAGCAAAGCACTGTGAGAAACACAGTCCCACAAAGTGAGCACAGCAATCTCATGCCCCAGCTTTCCTATGCATCAAGGAAACTGACTTCACACACAGCTGTGCTGCAGGGGTGTTTGGGTCATCAGCAGGCAGTGGTTACTTGCAGATACCTCTTGACCCCTGTGGTTGCAGTGGCTGCTGATGTCATTGAAGGAGGTAGGTGGCAGGATACTGAAGCTACCCAGGAACGAAGAGGGGTAGAGAGTCCCTGTTCAGAGGCTGCAGGGGATTTGCCTGGTGTGGAATCTCAGGCCAGAGCAGATGTTGGCAAAAACCTTCTGAGAGCTCAGCCTCTTTGGCAATAGCTGGTACAACCTACTGGTTCAATTCCAAATGTCATGCAACAGCCAGTGAGGCACCCATGGAGAACTTTCCACGACGATCTCAACCTTAAAACAAATTACTTTTTGTGGGGTAGAGAGATTAATGACTAAGACATAGAAAGAGAAGGCCAGGAGCCGTGATGAATTTTCATAGCAACAGGAGGTTAACAGCTCGGTTTTCTGAGGATGAGAAGTCCTTTCTGCCCTGGAAATTCCTGAGTGATTGGGCAAACAAGATGAATAATGGGAAAGTACTATTTACTGATGTTATTGGGAGTATTTGACAGTGAAACTAAAACTGAGAACAAGCTATTTCCAAGACCTGGAGGTCCTGAGTGACCTGCTGATAAAATGCAGTATTCATTTCTGTGCTGCTAAGTGAAACATAGAAACCCAACTCTAGTAATAGATGTACATATTTGTGTGGAGTGTTTATACTCAGAAGACACGTCTTTGTAGATTGTCCTTTGAAAGCTACTGACATCCATTAACTGTGAAAGGGAAACTGAATTATAGGAATGAGTAAGAAAGGAAAGAAGAACAAACTGGAAAACATGGTTGAGCTCTTCTGTGAGCTTGACACCTTGAGTACCACAAGTATCTGTGGTTACTTTGTGTACTGTTTTGTAAAACACGAAAAGGCAAAAAAGGCAATGGAATATTTAGAAAAGTTACCTGTGCAGGGAAAATTCAGGTAGGCTTCGGCTAATCAATGGTAAAAAAAAAAAAAAAAAAGAAAAAAGAGGACACAAATTTCTAACAATGTACTGTTGAGTCGTGGAAACCAATAAACATGAGAGAAAAAGTGGTTAAACAAACTGATGAAACCACTTGGAGTAAAGGGCTGTGAACAGCTGTTAAGTGCAATGAGAAGGCAGTGCAGGGCACAATGGCTGGGAGTCACAAGCAGGGGTAGTATTTACCCTGCAAGATTCTAGCTCCAAAGTTGCCATGTGCTGAATTCTTTCTGTGCTCTTTTCTTCTGTGTTGCAATTAAGCGTGGTCTTGACTAAGGGGCATGCCACGGCACATTTAGAAACGTCTGTTGCCCACTTTAGCGGGTATTGAATAAAGGAGATGTTTCTGTAGCATAGCAGAGAAAGAGTCAGCAGAAGGACTCAGAGAGAGAAACCTTAGCGAGTGCCATGGGCTCAGCAAAATGCCCTAGTGAAGTTATCTGAGTGGTTCTGGGCCTCTCAGCACCCTGTGACAGCCAGCCTTTTCTGTCATGGGTTTTACTTGGAGAATAACTGATTAAAGAAAGGGTATTTTTTATCTAAATGCATTATTTGGTCCAATGAATGTAGTGCATGATGAGTGCCATTGATATGGACAGCTTTTCAATAGATGCTTTAAAGTCAGAAAAGTGGTTAAAGTCACTTCTACTTACAGATAGATAAAATACATAAACATGCAATAAAATCTGAAGTTACTCTCAGAGGAAAGATCTGTTTTTCTACAGACAAAACAGTTAGTTAGTTTCAAGATGAATATTGACCTTCTCATGTAGCAGTTACAATTAAGTCCTTGAAGAATCTCTTTTTTCTGTTAACTGTTTAGAACATGATAAAATCTTTGTAATATCTGTCTGTCAAGATCATGCAAACTTTTATTAATGCGTTAGCTATAATTTCTTCATGCTGACATTCATCCAATGCTTTACAGGTCTGTCATTGATTTACTTGCCTGGAATTCTTGAAGTAATGCTTTGTCATTTGGAAAATCAATAACTTATTTTGAATGTTTTGGTAAACAGCTAAACAGCAGCAAGGCAATTTTAGAATTAAAAATCAAAGCAGTATGATATTCATCTGATTCTGTGAGAGCATATTTTAGCTCTCTACTTTTCTACTGCTGCTGAACTATCATCTTTATATTAACAGATGTATTATGCATTATTCCATCTAGAAGATGAAATGGTGCAACATATTTTTTTTAAACACCATTTTTCTTCTTATTTCTGTGACTCTAACTCAATGTTAAGCCAGTATTAAATGTAGGACTGTTTAAATTAGGAATCTTGGAAAGATAAGTACAATTAATTAATATTTCAATTGAATATAAAAAATAAAACCAAAATGGGAGAACATTTATTTGGAGTGCTTTTAAAGCATAATCTGCAGTGATTCAAATACACTTGGATACTACATCAAACAAGAAATCTGTCAATAATTATAAAATATAAGCAGAGGATATTTTGGAGACTTCAAAAACTATGACTTTTCTCACCTCCTCGTGCACTACCATGGCATATGTATAAGCAAATATATGCTTATAGGACATCTTTCAGTTGCAAATTTTATATTAACTACGGGAATCCTGTGCTTAGCTAAGATGAACTCTGTCTGCCTCTGCAACTGACACCCTCATCTAGGGATAAAGGAGCAGATGCTTAGAGCATGGCCAGATATTTATTGGTATTGTTAATGTTAAGACTGACTCAGCTCGATGTACATCACTATGCAGACAGCACGTGTTAAAGGAAGATAGCTGTTATCATAGCACTTCCAGCCAGACATGATGTAAAAAGTGAAATGCAGAAAAAAAAAAAAAAAAATTAGCTCAGTTAAACAGCTCCTTGGGTTTCTCCATCTGCACTCTGCAGCTCAACACACCAGACACGAAGACATGAAGATGCCTACATCACTGTCTAAAGGCTTGTCCCTCCTTTCTTTTCTGCACATTATTCCTATCCTTCCCTAGTTGTTGCTATCTCCTCCAGTACAGCGAGCCTCAGGGTACTAGAGGGATATGTCCAGGGTGACCTGGGCCAGCTCATGTGAATGCATCACTCATCACACACAGGTCCTGCAGAGCTCCTGCTGCCTAGGCTGCATCCATGAGACCCAGTCCTTCTGAAGGCCATTCCTGCCCCTGTGCCAAGGGTAGGCAGAGC